TTTTGGAGTCACAATAGAGTGGAATTCTTTTCATTTTTAAGCCATAGTCGCAAAGTTGGCTTTGAATCCAAATAACTTGAGATGTGCACGAAGCTGCAACAATGTATTCAGCCTCAGCAGTTGACAATGAAACGCATGTTTGTTTCTTTGATTTCCAACTCACCAGCTTGCCATCGAGAAATTGACATCCGCCAATTGTGCTTTTTTGATCTAAACCGCAATCCCCTAAATCAGCATCTGAAAATGCTTGTACGAAGAATCCTGATTTTGAAGGGTACCATAAACCAAGAGATGAGGTTTGCTTCAGATATCGAAAAATATTCTTTAAATTCATCATGTGAGGTTCGCATGGATTAGCTTGAAACCTTGCACAATAACAAACAGAAAAGATAATGTCTGGTCGACTAGTTGTTAAATACATCAAAGACCCTATCATTTAGCGATAGAGGGTCATGTCAGCAGCCGGTTTTTCCAGAGAAGGTGTTAACTTCATGCCAAACACCATGGGAACCTTCACTTTTGACTCTCCCATCATTCCAAACTTATCGAGCAGGGTTTTCTTGTATGCCTCCTGATTAATGAAAGTTCCTTCCGGTCCCTGTCTAATGTTTAATCCAAGAAAAAAGTTAATTGGACCCATTGAGCTCGTCTCAAATTTAGTTTCCATCAACTTTCGGAACTCAGCTGTGAGGTCGGGATTTGTAGATCCGAAGATGATGTCATCAACATAAATTTGTACGATCATCAAATGGTCACCCTCTTTCTTGTGAACGAAGGTTTGGTCAACCGAACCTTTCTTAAATTTGGACATTTTAAGAAAACGAGTAAGAGTTTCATACCAGGCTCTTGGAGCTTGCTTTAAACTGTAAACCACTTTGTCAAGAATGTAACAGTGATTGGGATATTTTTCATTTATGAACCCAGGCGGGTGCTCCACATAAACTATCTCTTCCAATTCGCTATTTAAGAATGCACACTTCACATCCATTTGAAAAACTTCAAAAATTTTGTGTGCCAAGAAGATGCGAACAGATTCCAATCTAGCTACGGGTGCGAAAGTCTCTTCGTAGTCAATCCCTTCTTCCTGGCAATAAACTTTGACTACCAGTCTAGCTTTGTTTCGGATTACGTTCCCTTCTTTGTCCATCTTATTTCTGAACACCCACTTTAATCCAAACACAGATGCATCCTTTTGTGTAGGAATCAGTCTCCATACTTTGATTCGCTCAAATTCACTGAGTTCATATTGCATTGCTTGTACCCAATTTGAGTGATCGAGTGCAGTTTTAACATTTGGTTCAACTTTGGAGATAAACGAATTAAACATGCAAAATTCCACTTGAGAGAATAAAGCAGTTTGTTTCGATTTCAGTTGAGAACGTGTGAGAACTCTTTCTGATGATTCACCAATGATTTGGGTTTTTGGATGATCTTTCGTCCATTTGATAAGGGGAGGGTAATTTGGATCATAGGAGGGATCTAGTTTAGCATTTACTTCTTCTTTGAATTCTGATTGTGTATCATCATCTTCATCATTTGAATTAACATTCTCCCCCTCGAATGATGAAACATTTTATGCTTCAGGCTCAGAATTCTCCCCCTCGATTAGACGTTCATTGGGTATGGTGGTTAATAAATTCTCCCACTGGAAAGCAGAATGGGAAAATTCACTTGGATTTTGAGAGATGGCAGATACTTGATGTCCACCTGCACTTGAAGGTTCGCTTTCCATGACTTTAGCAGCTTCGTCAATAACCTTCTTAAGATTGTCTACTTTGTTGTCAGTTGCTTTCGTTTCAGAGAGAATAGCAGACTCTGGTTCATCAAAGAGCATCACATATTCTTCAAATAAGTTGGAGATAGGAATCGTGACTTAACCAGTTTGAGGAAAGATTTCGTTCATTGGTTCTTTGCTGGACGTGAGTTTCTTCACATAGTTATCATCAAACGACACATAATACGTTTCTTCGATTTTCTTGGAGCGTTTGTTTAGAACCCTGAAGGCTTCTGAAGTTAGTGAATACCCAAGAAAGATTCCTTCATCTGCCTTCACATCAAACTTGTTTTAGTTTCCTTTAGAATTGAAGATGAAGCATCTTGAACCAAACACATGGAAAAACTTGATGTTAGGCTTGCGATTGTTTTGAATCTCATAGGGAGTTATTGTAAAACGCTTATTGAGTAAAGACCGGTTCTGGGTGTAGCAAGCAGTGGCAATAGCATCAGCCCATAAATACAAGGGTAACGATGCGAAACTACGCATGGTTCGGGTTGCTTCACACAATGAGCGATTTTGCCTTTCAACAACCCCATTTTGTTGTGGAGTATAAGGAGCGGAGAAATTGTGTGATACTCCGTTTTCAGTAAGAAATTTGTCAAACACTTGGTTTTTGAATTTAAGCCCATGGTCACTGCGAACGTTGCGAAACAGCTTTCGCAGTTGAACTTCAATCTGTTTGATAAAATCCTTGAGCTTTGGAGTTGCATCTGATTTCTGTCTAAGAAAGAACACCCAAGTGAAATGAGAAAAGTCATCAACAATTACTAGTATATACTTACTACCACCAAGGCTTTCAATAGCAAAAGGACCACAAAGGTCGATGTGTAGAAGTTCCAAAGGTTCTATAACTTTCGTGTTCACGATCGTTGGATGACTTTTTCTACTTTTCTTTACCATATCACAGGCGGCACATAAGTGTTCCTTGTCAAACTTTAGAAGTGGAAGTCCTCGCACATGATCACCCAGAACTAGCTTGTTGATGTCTTTGAAGTTGAGGTCTGAGAGCCTTCGGTGCCACAACCACCTTTCGTTAGGATGCACTTTCGTTAGTAGACATATAGATGGCTTCCCTCATATTAGATTGAGGTTCAGTGGATACATTTCCCCTTTTCATTAAGATTTCAGCAGAACAGTCTTGGTCTTCTTTTCTATTATTTCTAACCCTTCATCATCAAACGAAACCTTCAGCCCAGTTCTTACCACTAGTTGCGAAACATTGATTAGATTGTGTTCCAAGCCTTCTATGTATGCCACCTTTCTGATTGAGAAATCTCCATTTTTGATAATCCTATAGCCTTTTATTGTGCCAAAAGAATTGTTACCATATTTGACACATCCACCATCCTTCAGAGCACGAAACTCCCGAAGCTCTTCCCTTCTCCATGTCATGTGATGTGAGCAACCACTATCGATATACCATACATCATCGAACTGCTCGTCATGAATAACCTAAAAAAATTAAGCAGATTTAGGAACCCAAAGGTTCTTGGGTCCTTGTGAGCCTTTTATAAAACAGGGAATAGTAAGACAGGAATCAACAAAAAAGGTTCGTTTTATTAAGGTGGTCTCATCTTTTCTTTTGATTGTGAAAACTTTGATTTTGTTATCTTTTGATGCTTTAACCTTAGGTTTAGGAATTGGATATTTATTGTTTTCAAACCCTTGGTTTTGTTTCCTTAGGTTACTATTCATCTTCTTTTCGTCTCCTGAGACGATCTTCCCTTTTCCCTTTAGAACTTCTTTAGGATTGTGCATTGAGTGAGAGGAATGTGTTTTAGAAGTGAGACCTTGCTTTCGGGTCCTTTCGCTTGTGGATGAGGAACCGAAACTGCCCCTTTGGTTGTTGAGTTGAGAACCGAAACCACTCTTTCAGTTTCTTTCGCTTCTATTTTGGGGAGTGAAACTTCCCTTTCGGTTTGCTTGGCTACATGAATAGCATTATGTACAAGAAGTAGATTGATTCTTTGACACTCATTTATCCTTAGTGGTTGAACTCTTGTTTGATCGAACATAATTTTGGTTTTAGGACTGCCAAACTGTTTCCTTTAAGCGAGATTCTTCTTGTATCTCCTGTTACGTTGATGTTTCTTTTTCAGACACCTGTTTGGGAGTTTTATGGATGTCGACCTTCGGTTTCGATCATTCATCATGAGTTTCGCTCTTTAGCGAGGAGGTTTTGCTTGTAGCCTTTGACTAGCTTTCTTGAAACCTTTTTGGTACCACTTGTGCTTGGCACATAGAAATGTGTAGGCTTGTTAAGCGGTTCTGCCACATATATGCCTTTGACTCTCCATGATGTTCTCTCAGACAGGCTTGGCAGCGAAGCACCTGTCTTCTCTTTCTTTTGCTTCATCTTGAACCCCATCAGTGGTATAACCCCTCATATGTGACACTCCAGCTGTCACCATCAAACACTTTCCTTCAGCAGCATACTCATCCTCTTTTGCCACGAAAGCCCTGCCATGTGTAGGCTTTCTCACTTCTTCATCCTCTGAGTCAGTAGACCAGACTTCAACACCACCAAATTCATCATCTTCAACATCAGAATCTAATCATCGACTTGAACCCGGTTAAGTATGATGCTTTTCTCCTACCTTTGATCGAGTGTCTGAAGTAATCACCTCTTACCATTGCAATGACTCAAGTCGAGAATGTCCCTCTCTCGATTCTCTCAAAAGGTTATACCACCGCCAACTATGTCAAGGACGAGTAAAGGATTTATTTCGACATCCACAATCACACCACTTCAATCTCCAAGTCTCGTTTCTCCAATCTGCTAAGCCTTCCACAATCTGAGAATCTGATCAATCCAGAAACCATCTCCAATGCAGCTATCTTGGAAATGTTCTATCAAATGGGATATAAGGAGCCACTTACCGTTGTATCCAAGTTCAAGAAACCTAATCTCCCACCAATTTGGAATGCTCTTTTCACCATTTTATTCATATCCTTTTCCGAAAAGGTTACAGGCAATGACTGTGCAAGCAAACGCTTTATGGGGCTGATGTACGGACTCTACACTGGTGAAAACATCGACTACGGTTCAATTCTTTGGGCTAAACTCATTCAGAGCACTCACTCTGTCACTCGTCATAGTGAGATTTCATGTGTGAGATTTTGGACTGTGGTTGTCAACATGGCTATTAAGTAGCTCAACATTACAGTGATGACCGATGCACTGATGGCTTCTTTTGCGACATTCCACACAACAGGGATTATCATGGCAGACAGGTCTAAATTTGATTTTATTGGTTCGATTCCGGAGGCAAGGCTTTGTGATATTCCTACATCAAGTAAGATTCTTAAAATACATTGTACTCTCACTCCTTCAGGACCTCGTCCTCTCACAAACGAATTTCAAGCCATTTTGGCTGAGGCTGATAAACCCAAGAAAGGGGGCAAAGGGTCTAAGAAACCTGTGAAGACTGATTCTACGAAAGAAGGACCCTCTGCAGCTACGAAACCTCCATCTCATAAGCAAAAGGCTCCTAATACTTCTACTACTGCACCCAAGCGAAGTTAGAAACCCGCAAGAAGGCGAAAGTCTCCCACTCCATGTCCTTCTTAGAGTGACAACGAAAACTCAGATTCTGAGACTGAGTCAGAGATTCGCATTGAGGAGGATCCACCTGTTCACAATGAGGATGATGAACCTATTTGCACTGAAGAACAGGAACAAGTTCGCACTGAGCGTGAGGTAACTCCATCAATTAATGATTTTGTTCCTTTTCCTCCTCCCTCACCAAAAACAACTACTTCTGTACCAATAACCATTTCTCCGCTCCCAATTGTATCATCCCAACCACCCATAACGATTTCAGTGTCCATACCCATTTTCACAGATTCCACGATTCCACCCCAACCCTCTTTTGCACCTGAATGTTCAGTTAACGTATCTGATATGGGGGCTAATACTTCAGGTTTTTCAACTCATGTTTCCCCACCTATCTCTCCTATTCATACTGATGATCCAGAAATGCTTTTCGGAGACGATGACGTTGATGATTTAGAATCTTTCTCTTTCAATCCTTTTTAAATAAGGGTTGATAACGAAGATGAAGTCTCTACTTTTAAAGCAGAGTTCAAGTCTATTCATGAGAAGCTTGATTAGCTGCTTCTCGCATCCAACACTTCTACTTATGAAGCTTATTTGAAAGCTGTTGTTGAAGGTATCCTTGAGCGAGTCGCGAAGGATCATATTGCCAATATTTCTTCCGTCTCCAAGGCAATTTTTAACTCTGTTGCCATTTGCAAAGAAACGAACGAAAAAGTCGATAAACTAATTACTAATACAAGGGTATTCATCTACGAATACCAGGTTACCTACAACAACAACACGTCCATAACAAATAAACCTATTCAAAATGTTGGTGCCATGTTCAAAGCAGAAAAGGAGACCTTTTTTGAACTTCATACCGAGTTCAAATGTGATCATGAAGCATTCCAAGCCTCTGTCGATGTGAGACTCACAAAGCTTTAGGCAGACTTGGCAATGGAGAGCAAGATCATGGATGCACTTGTAACATCCCGGAATCGCAGGAGTAGAGTTGAAGGGCTAAAGTGTAAGTTTCGGAGGGTGACTCGGCGAGTCCATGGGTAGACTCGGCGAGTCAGGTCGCGGCTGTGGTCGCGTGTCAAGTGACCTACTCAGCGAGTCCCTAGGATGGACTCGGCGAGTAGGTGCTATATGGAGAAAACCCTAATTTTCGGGGTTGAGCCCTATATAAAGAGCATAATACCCCTCCACAGCCTCCCTTATTCCCCCTTGAGTTCCAGAAACCCTAAATTCGTGGAGAGATCATTGGTGGAGCAAATTAGAGCTTGGAGAGGTGTGGTTTGAAGAGATCTTGAAGGAGAAGTGGTTTGGATCAAAGGGCTTTGCTTGGATTCGAGTTTGGCTGCTATTGAGGCATCTTTTGGAGGTAATATCTTCGTCCTTAGGCTGTGCATTCCTAGTTCCATCATTTTGGGTTGTGTGGGGTGATTGGTTGTGTGACATTTTGATGTTGGAGGATGGATCTGAGGTTGCTACCTCAGATCTGGAGTGGAGAAGACCTTAAGAGCATTAAAGCCCCTATCTTTGTGTTGTTAATGAAGCTACCATGTCCCAAACCTTGGTTCTAAGGTGAAAATGGCTTAGATCTCGTTAGATTCACGTAAAGTTTGCCACTTTACGTGGTGGATGGATTGTAGGAGGTTGGATCTATGTTTTGGATCAATTGCATGGCCTGAGATGCGTCTGTATGGATTCAGACCGGTGGTACTCGACGAGTCACATGGGTGGACTCGACGAGTTGCTTGAAGATGGTCTGGAACTCGACGAGTTGGAAGAAGAGCTCGGCGAGTAGGTTAAAGATGGCCTTGGACTCGACGAGTCCATTTGGACTCGGCGAGTCTTGTCGAGGAAGTCCCAATATTTCTGGTTGAGTCGATGAATCGGTGAGTCGAGGGATGACTCGGTGAGTTGGGTGCGAGTGGACTCAGAGTTGTTGCATTCGACGAGTCTTGGGGTGACTCGGCGAGTTGGGCCGCTAATTGAGGGAAGTTCTAAGCATAAGGACTCGGCGAGTCATCGGGTTGACTCGGCGAGTAGGGTCAGCCAGGGGTTGACTTTGACTTGTCCAGGGTTGACCAGTTGTCTTCCAGGGGTATTTTGGTAATTAAGGGTATTTATTGGGTTATTGTTTGTTGTTCAGTGGAGGAGTTTGTGTCAGAGTTCGGAGCAGCGGGATCTTATCTTTTCAGCCGTCAGTTTCGAGGTGAGTTATCCTCACTATATCAACAGGGTCTAAGGCACCAAGGTCGGACCTTTATTGTATTGAGATTCAGTTACGTCTATCATGTTATTGTTGGTTGTGTCTGCATCCTGGTAGTTAGGATGGTAAATGCTAGGGGACCTTGTTAAGGTCAGTTTCTCGATATACAGAGTGATGCTATGCTAGTGATCGGTTAGGTCGGTAGCCCGGTTAGGGTAATGATATGCTATGTGATCTGCTTACTCGGTTTGTTGATTATGACTGTCATATGGATGTATGTTTTGTGCACATGGTTGTTTGGACTAGAGGTGGGTTGAGGCAGGTCCTGCTTTGTGCTGTAGGTCAAGATACCCAGGGCGGACCGGTTGTTCCGAAGGCCCAGTGAGCGGTCCGGATAGGCTGTAGGCCCCACGTGGGCGGACCAGACGTGCCGAGGCTCGGAGAGTGGACCAGGCCGACTGTAGGCCCGATGCGGGCGGACCAGTCTGCAACAGCCCGAAATCTCAAAGTATTGTTAAATCACATTTTGGGGTGTCTTAAAGGGGGGACTCGGTGAGTTGGAGCTTGACTCACCGAGTAGGATCGCAGATCTGGTCGCGGGTTCGCGACTGGACTTGACAAGTCCAGTTATGGACTCGGCGAGTCGACGCTGTTCAGCGGAAAACCCTAGCCGTTCAGTTTGGGACGTATATAAGGGATCTTGTGTCGTCATTGTCTGTGTTTTGGCCGACTGAGAAGAACCCTAAATCGGTTGTGGGCATCCAGAGCAAGGATTGAAGATCATTGGTGATTTGAAGAAGTTATTGTCCAAGAAGGAGGAGGTTTTGGCTAATGGGACAGCAAGGGAATCACGTTTTGAGGCTTGGGGACACAGAGAGTACGTGATTCAGGTAACCTTTTGGATTATTTCCTGTATTGTGAATGTGTGCATGGATTTAGGGTTTATGGAACCCTTTTGTGGTTAGATTGGTGGTTACCCTTGTTTCCCAAACGACTATAGCCTTGTATTAGGACCTTTAGAGGTCCAGAGGGTCCCATGCCTGTGTATTTCGGGACAATATTTATCTCAGGAAGCAGTTTGATCGACTGCATGGCATGGACTCGCCGATTCAGATGAGCAGACTCGGCGAGTAGCTTGAAGATTCATTGGGACTCGCCGAGTTGTTCTTCAGACTCGGCGAGTGGAGTCGGGGTGGCCCCGCGATTCTTCCACGAGGAACTCGTCGAGTCAAGAGAGATACTCGACGAGTAGAAAGGGAACATCCAGGAATTTGTGAGGACGACTAGACTCGCCGAGTCGCCAGGGTACTCGCCGAGTCCAGTCGAGATGACCGTGGACCGTTGACCAGAGTTGACCTGTGTGATTTCTTAGGGTCAGTTAACGTGGAAGATAGAAGTATTAATAAGAGATATATGATGTTATAGGGAGCTTGTAGCTCGGCGGATCAAGTGCAAGGGATTTCAGGAGTTGCTAACTTCCAGTATCCGCGAGGTGAGTCTTCTCACTATACTGTACCCGGAAGGGTTTGATTGTGTGACCGGAAGGTCGAACATGTTATGTGTTATGTATATATGCTATAAATGGAAAGTTAGTTGCTACGCGTGATATGCATGTTTATATGGGCCGGAAGGCAAAGTGTTATGTGACAGAAAGGTCAGGTATGATATATGATATATGTGCTTTATGTGTTAGAGTAAATGTATTATGTGCCGTATATGTTTTGGGCCGGAAAGGCAATATGTTATGGGCCGGAAGGCAATATGTTATGGGCCGGAAGGCAATATGTACTATGGGCCGGAAGGCAACACGTTATGGGCCGGAAGGCGATTATCTCATGGGCCGGAAGGCATTGTGCAGTGGACCGGAAGGTCAGGGCCTGGAAAGGCGTATGTGCGTAAGGTGTATATTGGGGAACTCACTAAGCTTCGTGCTTACAGTGTTTTATGTTATGTTGTTTCAGGTTCTTTCAGTAACGCGGGATGGCACCGGCTCGATTGTACACACCAAAGAAAGAGTTGTATTCTGGAGGATCCTGGTTTTCTACTAAGTGAAAATGGAACTATGTTTTTGTAATTCAAATGTGTATGAGATTTTAAACAAGTGATTTAATAATAATTTGATTAATTAAATGAAAATTTTGCCTTGAAATTTACGGTGTTACAAATTGGTATCAGAGCCTTGGTTTGAGGGATTCGGATGCGCCTTCGGGTAAATCTGGACTCAAACTGAGGAAATAAGAAAAAGTTTTCAAATAAATAGTTTTCTAAAAGTGGATAAGAGTTCAAAGAGAAAGCAAGAAAGAGCAGTGTGTACAATCAGCCAGAGCCAAACGGTGATTTCCCAAAATACCCTTACTTTTGTGTTATGAAATATCTATTATGCACTTTATGAGATATTATTGCATGCTAGAGACAGGCTAGGTATTTCATATCTTAGGACTAGAATGGCCTGATTTGTGATGCCTTAGCCTAGGATTTGTTGTCATATGTGCGTTATGCTTTTGAATATGTGATGAGCGAGAGTATCCAGTTAGGACGCACGAGGGGTAGAGCTACAGAGTTCAGTGGTACTTCCGAGGATGAGCCGAGAAGGTGGAGCTATCACAGATAGGGAGTCCTATGTATTCTTCGATGCTCGAATGCTGCTTGCTTTGTGCTTTGTGGAATTCTCGATGATGGGAGTCAGCTACTAAGTGAGTATGACGATACTCAGGAGGTAGATGGTTGGCATCATTAGGAGCTCTTCAGCAGCTGATAGCAAAGAAGTGGGAGGACAGCGGAAGGGACTAGGGAGTAAACCTAGCCAGATGAGTGCGCTGGTAGAGTAGAGGATTTCACTGGGGAGCGAGTACGCACGATGGATTGGTAAAAGAGCAGGTCGATCAGCTACTTAGGAACTCTGGGATGGTCCGTGTGGAAAGTATGGGTAGATGTGGAAGGTAGTATGGGCCCGTACTACTGAAAGCAGAGGACCCATACTTGATACAAGGAGCATTCTGAAGGTCCTAAGGAACGGAATGCGGAGTGATGTTATGGTCAGGGTACCATACATCGGAACAGATTGAGGATAGATGTTGTGGTTCGAGTACCATACATCGGAGCGGATTGCGGAGTGATGTTATGGTCAGGGTACCATACATCGGAACAGATTGAGGATAGATGTTGCGGTTCGAGTACCATACATCGGAGCGGATTGCGGAGTGATGTTATGGTCAGGGTATCATACATCACAACAGATTGAGGATAGATGTTATGGTTCGAGTACCATACATCGGAGCAGATTGAGGAGTAATGTTATGGTTCGGGTACCATACATCGGAACAGATTGAGAAGGGATGTCATGGGATGAGTACCAGGGTTCGTAGCGGATGATGCTTGTGACTATCTTGCTATCGGGTCATGATCGTTGAGGTAGAGATCGGACGATATGGGTTTTAGGCCTGTAGACCATGATTGAGTATGGGGAGGCGTTCCCCGAGGGGAAAGGCGAGTGTCTATCAGAGTATTTTGGTAAGAAGTTAAAGACAGAGGAAAACTTCGGGTGAGTCAAACAATCAGGCGATAAGGGAGAGGCCATCTTCTAGGAGGGTGGTGCCATTTATGTTCGTGAGCAATACAGGAGGGGCTTGATGTGTCAGTTGTGGATTTGGGAGTACACCCTGCAGGTAGTTATCGACAATGTTTTCCCTCAGGGTATCAGGTAGCAGGTGTGCCGCGAGGCAGT